CCAAACGAGCGTATATGACTACTAATGTCCAGTCTAGCACGCTGTTGAACTCGCGCATCATCATGTTGACAAAGATGGCCACATGTGTGCTGAGGCCCGCATTGGTGCAATTCAAGTCGAGGCTCATGCTCATCTTGAAGCCGTACGGCAATGCATAGAATCCTTTGCTGTGGAGGGCAAACATGGTCTTGTCTATGGCATGTCCTCGAGCCCACAAAATGTTTAATTTTACTTGTGTTTCTTTCTCTCTCTGTTTTGCTCCTTCTGCCTCCTTCCGTCTTCCTCTGCCTGTGCGTATCCCGTAAGAGCTTCCTTTTTTCCCTTCCTTTGTGGCGCAACCCCTCTGGCTTTTGTGGTTCCACCTTCACTATCAAGGAGACTTCCTTGTAGCCCATGCTTCAACCCTCACTATCAAGGAGTCTTAACCTAAATCTTGCTAGCAGCAAACACGTCTTTGATCAGGCCAAACTCGACATAGCGGTACCCTTTGTAATTGCGGTTCTTGGTGGGTCTTATAAAGGCCAACAGGCTCAGCTTGGCCATTAATGTTTCCGAGATGTGGTTGTGATCAGGCGAACCTTTTACTTGGTCCAAGATTGACAGCGTCACGCAGCTCCTGAACGACCAGTCTAGTGTACTGTGCAACTTGCCCATCATCATGTGGGTGAAGATGACCGTGTGTTTGCAGAGGCCTGCGTCGATGTCATTTAAGTTAAGTCTCACGTTAACGTGTAGCCGTACGCTAACGTGTACAATCCTTCGCTGTGCAAGGGAAACATGGTCTTGTCTATGGCTTGTCGTTGCGCTTACAAAATGTTTAATTTTACTAGTCTTTCTTTCTTGTTTTTTCTGTTTTGCTCCCTGCCTTGCCCATCACCCTCTACCCATGGGTATCACAGAAGTGTTTCCTTTTTTTCCTTGCTTTCTTTTTGGCGCGGCCCTTCTGGCTTTTGCGCCTTGACGCTTGTCATCAAAGAGACTTTCTTGTAGACCGTGCTTCCACCCTCACTATCAAGGAGTCTTCCTTCATGTAAGTCTTGCTTGAGGTGAACACCTCTTTGACCGGAGCAAACTCGACGTAGTCGTACCCGTTGTAGTTACTGTTCTCGGTGGGTCTTTGAATGGCCAACAGACTCGGCTTGTAATCAACGTTTCCGAGATGTGTTCGTGATTGGGTGAACTGTTCACTTGGTCTAAGATCAACAGCGTCACGCAGCCCATGAATGGCCAGTCTAGCGCACTGTTGATCTCGCCCATCATCATGTGAAGGAAGATGGCCACGTGGTCGCCGAGGGCCACGTTGATGCTGTTCAAGTTGAGTCTCGCGCTCATCATACATCATACATCAAACATCACAGAATAGTGATGACAAGCATTACAAGTCTGCAATGAAAACGCCCGAAAAGCAGGAAAAACACAGTTTTAAACCTAATTCTTTCCATTTAACCAAGAAACAGACAGGAATAACTATCTAAACTTGACTTTACTTCTGTTAGGCATTGTAAGAAAAGCGTTACAGAAAATGACAATTTTTGGCTTCAGTTCTCTTTCAAGCATTGACTATTGCTGTCTATTTGGTCTGGGTTAATATCTGAAAGAGGTTCTTCCCTGTCTGGTTTCAGATTTCATCTTCTAGGGTGTTGTCCTTGAGAATCTCACCAGTTTGATTTAAGAGATACTCAACTCCTATTATTTCGCCTGTATGGATTTCAATATTCTGGACATTGGACTTCCTTTTCTTACCAAGTGCATCCTCACTTAGCTCATTCACAGCTTGTATTAATAATCCACTATAGCTCTCTGTTCCTGATTCAGTACTTGACACTGCAGCAGAAGCACGATCAGCATTCCACCTCATCAGACCATCTAACAAGTAAGCTTGAAAATGAGCAGCACTTGCAGAAGTACCTGAAATAAACAAGAACAGTTTTATAAACGGAAGTATTTAGGATGTGTTGAGTTTACACTCATGTCATTACCTGGTATGAATTCATCAATATGCAGTTGGAATTACTCCAATGACGTTTAACCTCTTGCACATCTGTAAGTTGGAAGTTGGACACCACCTTTAGTCAGGACCCCAGTTTTTGTATACAGTTACACAACCCCAGGATTCTGAGTGTATGGAATGTGGTGCTTTTGGTTGTCCCAGATTTCCCATTTGTGGGTTTTGTCGAGCAAAGGAACTCCAGTAATGTAATGACCCTGGTGACCAGTTAATGCCAACATTAGATCAAAATCATTGCAGTGGTGTTGACTATTTCCCTGAGTTTTTCTACGGCAATGTAGAGCCAATTCTCTTGAGGTAATCTTGTCAATGGTGCCTGCTTCAGTAGGGTCAGCAATGCCTTGACCTGCAGTTGACCTCTTTTGGCAGACTTTAATAAATTCAGTTCAGCTCAGTTCAGTTCATTTTTTATTATTGCACACTGTTTACGGAAAACAACTTTCAGGTCTTCTTCGCTCCATTGGAAGATGCACTGTGATAAACGACTGACAAATACACTATAGAGCGGATAGGCCTCTGTATTACTTCCTGCAGTAATTTGTCTCATAAAGTGCCAAATATCAAGGTGTGTCACTTAATTGTCCCAGAGTGAGAATAGATTCTTAGTTTTGCCACCATTGATTCCACCACGACAATCTCTGTCAACGTACAGGACCTCAAGAGGTTAAAAACCATAGAAAGAAAATCTTCTCATTAGTCCATTTGCCTTGTTTTCCAATCCAGTTCCTTCATTGACAGTCATCACTGACATGAGCACTTGTCCTCTTTCATCTCCAATATTGGTGGCCCTGGGAACATTACAAGCACTATCTCCCACAAGTTCTCACAATCATCTTGGTAGAGTCCATTTTCAATACTCTTCTAAAGAGAGAAGTGATAGATGCTTTAATATAGTTCATTCTGGCCATGATGTCTGGAGCGTACACTGTGAGGAGCCACTTATACTTTGGCACTGGTGCAAATCCTGGAGGCTGTTGGAACTTAAGGAGACCACTAAGGTCACATGTGGATGCATTTGCAAACTATTTGCAGTCAGTCATACTGGGCTGATTTTTGGAACCCCTCTTCACTAAGTTCTTCAGTAAGCTTCTGTAATTGTGTTGAGCTGTTGCAAAGGCCCTGTTTCTCAACAGTCTGATAATTCTGACATCACAAGCATATTGATAGGTTAGCAAAACTGGAAACTGAACTTGATGGCCAGCGTCAAGTTGTTTTACAATCTCAGGACTCCAGTTGATAACCTTTCTTTGGCAACACCTACACTCAAGGTACTCTGCAGCTAGGTTGTAGTAGCTGTCAATGTCTAGGACTTACCTCACAGTGCTGCTGGTTGCTTGTCACATCCTTCATGTGGGCAGTATAGTGTGACTTTGCAAAGCTTCTGTGGCATCCAAAGTAACAACCATTGAGCAAAGTATGTGTCCAGATGAGGTAGTTGTGTGGTGATAAGAGGTGGCTGAGGGGGGTCCCACCATAGCTTGCTGACCTTAAAAAGGAGTAAACAGTCAGACAAATTGTCTATTGAAAAACACCCTTTGCAGTCAAAATGACTGAATTATGTTCCTCTCTCAAGAAATAGTAATCTAGCATATAACNTAAAAAGGAGTAAACAGTCAGACAAATTGTCTATTGAAAAACACCCTTTGCAGTCAAAATGACTGAATTATGTTCCTCTCTCAAGAAATAGTAATCTAGCATATAACTTACAGTATTTTAACATACAATGTCAACAAAATAGTAAAAGATAGTAAAATGTCAAGAAATATTACTAATAAAGGAAATTAACAGTCATAAATTTAAAAATATATATTTTAATTTTTTTGATCCCTTCCCGCCTTGCCAGGAAAATTCGAGCTCTCCTGCCAAGTGTTACCGATTTTAGATATACTTCCAATCACCCAATGCAACTTTCAGAGAGAATTAGTTTTGCCCAGATAAATTAGTTATTTCTCTGTAATGGTCTGTAAACCCCTGTTGGAGTATAAATAGCCTGTAATCATACTCACTTAAGGCTGGCGTGCAGTTTACTAAGGTGCGTGTTTAAAATATTGGCCTGGGGGCAATGTTTGTTGAGGGTTGATGACAAAGAATTTTCTCCATCTTAGCTGTTGATAGTAGCAGTAGCACTGTTCACATAAAGTGTATAAGATGATATGAATACCTGGCTTTATCAAACTGACAAAGATGAAATGTATGAAAAAAATTACATTCCAACTGAAAGGAACAAAACTAAGCAAAAGACCCCAAGTACACATTACAGACCTATTTTTGTTTAGTGCTGTGACACAGCTGCTACAGTTTTTGTAGAGCCACTTTTCTCTCCTTTCTTTTTCATTTTTGCAGCCTCAATGCCCTGTTTAAATTGTTCTGTATAACTCTTAAAGAGAAATTTACTTTTACTCAAAGCTGCCTCTGTCTCCCTTTCTTTGTTGACACTTACCACTTAATATACAAGGTAGCGTGTATATTCCCAGGGCATTACTTAAGACCCATGAAACATTTTTCACAGAAAAACCCCAAACTGCACCTCATGTTGTCTAAGGACCCTGCAATTCATTGGTTCAGTGTCCTGGTCTAGTAATGCTTCAATGGCCTTTTGACATACTAAAGATGAGAGAAGGCTAGTAGTCTTAGGTGGTAGATTTTCTCTACACTGCTGTAGAAGTCTTCTTGCCTCTTCAGTATACCCAAACCTCAGAACTTTTGACCCATCCTGACTGGCAGCAGACTGGACATTTCTAAGAGAAGCAAAATAGCACAACAAAAAATGAGAGAACAGGACTAGAAGATACAGGACGTCCCTCAACAGAACGGCAAATTTTACGAAATTTTGCTCAAATCGTGGGAAAAGTGGAAATGAGGTTCAGCCGACAGATGTACACTAAATGTAAAAACACATTATTTCATACTAATACCAACACTCCATTCAAATAAAATGCTTTATCTCTAAATAAGAATGGTGGGAACAGTTTAATGGAAGGAATAAGAGGTGCAATGACAGATGTTTTATGATAATGCATTATCTTTAGTGGAGTGTACTTAGGAAGCCAGTCCATAAAGTCAAATCTTGGAAAGTTTTTCAGGCTACTGTGTGAAATCCTTGATTTTAAAGGGAAAGTTACATGTACTGTGGGTGACATCTTAAGTATTGATTAGTCCAGAACCAACATGTTAATTCAAATGTCACACTGTGCAGAAAAATAAAAATCAACTTGTTGCTATTGTTTCTTTCCTTCTCACAAAGTCAGTTACTTTTGCATAGCTAGGCATCCATATCCTGTTCTGCTAACTGTAGTTGTCCAAAACATAGAATTCTCATTGCTGCATGACTCCTTATATGGATTACTTGAGCAAAATAGCCAGATAGGCAGACAGGCATACAACACACAAATTAAGGCGTCGTCAGCCCAGGTGCATTCTGTTTACATTCAACACCAAACACAAAAGTCTTATGTTAAGCAGGCAAACGTCAGTAAAGTCAGAATGATCTTGGAATTTGTCGGGAATGTTGAAATAGTTATCCACAAATTTTTCCAGTCATTCTTTAGCGGTGTCGCTAGAGCAGCACTTTATGCAGTTATATGGGTAATATCAATTCCCAGGAAGCTTGGACATCACAGGAAGTGAACAAATTTGCAAGAAATTGGCTACATATTTACTGCTCAAATCCGGGATGGTGAATGTGTGATTTTCAACCAAGAGAACCAACACAAAATCTACTGGCCAGGCGGTTTTCACAGTGGGATTATATTGAACTGTGGACGTGAAAATGCCAAGATGGCAGCAAAGCTGGAGAAATTTAGTAACTCAAAAGACCAATACTTAGCAAGGTTGTATTTATTGCCACAAAATGAACAAACTGTATCCTTGTAGCTTTGGCTACGTAAGGGTGGTTGAGATGGTGAGCCAGCAGAAAAGAAACATCTGTAATGGAAAGTTAGCAACTTAGTGAATATTTTAATCAATACACAATGTTCAAGAGTGTCCACAGGAAAACCAGGCAGGAGGTGATAAAGCTCAAATCACCAATTTCACTCAAACTTGGCACAAATGTTTGGTTTGATGAGAAAATTATTTCTCACCTGCCTGGTTCTGCCTGGTCTTCTTGGGGAGACACTCTTAGGAGGCTATAGGGTTTTACCTCTTCATTGTTTCAACTCCAACATGTGCTGAATGATACTTTCGGGCAAACTGATCACGAGTGGAATCTTTCTGATATATTGCAGGACACTTTAGGGGCACTTTGTTGTAGTCTAAGTGGTTGTCATATAATCGCTTCAGTACTTCATCTTGGGCAAATAGTCCCTCCATAGTGATGAGAGCCTCGGCCACTTTGAGTACTTTGTCAAGTCCAGGTAGGCCTTGAGAATGGACTGCCTCCTTGTGTTGTTCTTCTGTCTCTCACTGTACAAATAAAATGAATAAAAACATTGTCTATTCTTAAAGCGAAAATAGACTGCATCTGGTTAGGGGATCGTTTATCGTTTCAAACATGTGAACAGTTGATTTGTCCTGTCAGGTTTCATCACCCCACAGTTATTATTTGGTTGAGTGGGTCTTCATAGTGTCCACCCTCTTTGCGATCGGTAACACTGTTGCTGTCTGCCTTAATACTGTCATCTCTCATGTCACTGAGGTCCTGTTCATTCTCTACTAATACCACTCCACTTTGAGAGTACAAGTATTCCATCGCAAGCTTTTCACGTGTGACCAAAAAATTACACTGAATCAACATCGCCAATTTGGCTTGTATGTGGTTCCAAGTGCCTTATAACTTGTCATGAACAATAGAGCATAACAAAACCATATGAAATTTACCTGTTTTCTTATTTGGTCTACAGAAGAGGGAGAACACTTTTTTATGCTGGAGGTGCATGTCAAAAGTGTGTAGCTGCAGTAACGAAGGTTGTCTGTTTGTTTTGTCATCCAAGAGTAATAATAATTAAAATCCAAAGGCATTGTGTAGGGAATTCAGTTGGCAACATGGACAGCATTTGAGGTGATGACTTTGAATACAGCTTTGGTGAAAATACCCTTTGCAGCAAGCTCTGCAGTAGATTGGCTCTGGAAATAGTGGTTTTTAGCATTGGCTGCAATAATTTCTTGCCATTGTTTGTTTCCTGAATGACCAAAGAAAAAGGGCAACCGTTTTTATCACGGTGTTGGGATGGATTGTGATGTGTTTCTTGACGTCATGATATTATGACCTGGGCAAATTCCAGAGTTAGGTCATTACCTGATATCTTACCTCACTGATGTTCAAGCTTTGCAAAAGTCCAAAGTTACGTCAAAAGTCCGAGCCACATCGCATTGTCAATAAAAGGGCAAAGTCCAGTCTAATTAAGAGAAAAAATTCAAATGAAGTGTAGTGAAAAACTTGGCCGAGGGTTGATTAGAGTTGAACTGTTGTGATGCTTGGGCACGCTCTTGGCTTATCAGAGCACACTCATGGAGTGGAACACACTCAACTGCTGTACAATCAACTGAATCTACTTTATTGCTTGAATCAACGTTCTTATATACATGATGGTAGCTAACCAATACGTGATAGAAAATACAGAAGATACAAGGAGTTTCTTTTGGGATAATTTGGGATAAACAACTTAATTACGACATAACCACAATTTCACAGATACGAGTGATTACTTACGTAAATCCTGCGGAACTAGGCATTTAATTGAGCAGAATCCTACTCTAAAACTTGTTGCTAGAAGGAACTAGCCTTCCTATATGTTTAAAGACGGAAAACACGAACTATATATTGCGACACATACTCAAATAGTCTCATGCTTACTTAAACAAAGGATCATACAAAGATCATATTACCGGTTATTATTGTGTAATCAATGTTGTTCTAAAATAATATGTCACGCTTCGTCATGCTTTCATAGACTTCACTACACTATCTCCCCCTTTGAAAAAGGCATGTCCCCATGCTGGAGCTATAGGGAGGCGAAACTAATACCTCGGTCTAAACAAAACTAGCATTTTCGGTCCAAAGCACAATTTATTAACTAATTAGTAAACTACTGATCAAGATAGGAAGTGTCTCATCCAGATTGAAGGTCTGACTTTTCGTCTAGGCCTGTCTGCATGTACTGGTCGGTTGTTTACTGCAGCAGGCAATTCCCAGTCTCGGTCAAGGCGTTCAGGAATTGCAACTTCCACATCGGCTGCTGTCTCGTCCATGTACATGAGGTCCGTTTCATCAGGAACATACCGTGGTGGAACATGCGGTCTTCGCACTTCAGTTTGAGGTTCAGAACTAGCAGTCTGGGTAGGTCTGCGCTGCTGCTCTACTGGTTTAAGTACACCACAGGCCTTCAGGCGGTTGAAGTGTACCACCTTTCTTTTCCTGGGGTTGTCTTCTGCCTGGATACGGTAGGTCACATCACCAATCTTCGTCATCACAATGTAAGGGCCCTGCCATGGTGAGTGGAGCTTCTTAGTCTGCCCTTTCTTGAGTGCGGGGTCATGGAGGAACACTCGATCGCCAATCTCGATTTGTTCTCCAGCAATTCGCTGATCATAGTGGTCCTTTTGACGCTTCTGGGCAGTTTGCAGGTGCTTCCTGGCATGCTCATGGACTTCTTCCAGGGTGTCACGCAACTCCCTTATGTACTCTGATACTTCTGGCTGGTGGTTTGGTTGTCGTCCAAACATGACTTCTACTGGTAATCGTACCTCATGGCCAAACAATAGGTAAAACAGTGTGTACTGGGTGGACGTATGGACACTTGACCGGTAGGTCATTATCACCAATGGCAGGTGCTCATCCCAGTCACGCTGGTGGTGTGACATGTGCTTGGCCAGCATATCCTGGAAGGTACGGTTCATTCTTTCAATCATTCCGTTGCTTTCCAGGTGGTATGGGGTTGTATGAGTCTTATCCATGTTGAACAGGAGGCACATTTCCTGGAACAGCTGGGCTTCAAAATTGCGACCCTGGTCAGAATGTATTTGCTCTGGTGTTCCGTACCTGGCAATGACTTCTTTAACGAGTTTCTCTGCGACAGTTCTCGCTTCCTGGTTCGAGATCAAGAACGCCTCTTTCCACTTCGTGAAATAGTCACCTACAACCAGGATGTACTTGCTTCTGGATTCAGTTACTGGCAGTGGTCCTATGATGTCGATAGCTATTCTCTCTTTGCTGCTGTCAACTGCATTGGTCTTGATTACTTGG